ACACACACACACACACACACACACACACACACACACACACACACACACACACACACACACACACGCGCGCGCGCGCGCGCGCGCGCGTGGGTTCGACCCGCTGTTTTTCCTTTTTAATTTTTCTTTTTTTTGATTGATTGATTGTTTGATTGATTGGTGGGGAAGGAGTCGCGCTTCCCCCATGCATGCACACACACATACACACACACACACACACACATACACGCACACACACACACACACACACACACGCGGGTCCAACCCGTTTTTTTTTTTTTTGTGATTGATTGATTGATTGATTGATTGATTGATTGATTGGTGGGGAAGGGGTCGCCCTTCCCCCCGCACATGCACACACACACACACACATGAAAAATTAAAAATTCTTTTTTTTTTAATTACGTTTTTTTTTTATTAAAATACATAGTTTTTTGTTTTCTATTTTTCTTTTAAATTGAAAAACACTTCATAATCTGAAGAAAAAAAATGAGGTTGTAGGTATTTTCAAACCCTACAACACCATATTTTTTATTTTATTTTGGTATTTCTTTAATAGGAAAAAAATATACATTACAAAATTAAGACCGCGGCCCCCCGCCCGCGGCCGACCTCAGCGGTCGGGATCCAGACCGCGGGGATTCATAGGATCCAGCTTGCTGAGCTTGCTGCCATCTCGGTCACCAATGTCTATGACTCGGTGATCGACGAGTTTCGCACTCAGTACCGCCACTGCCCCGACTATCGCGACATCCACGCGACCCTTCGGAGTGGCAAGACCGTCCCGAACTACTCTATCGGGGACAACGGTCTTGTGTACTGACACGTTTTATAGGTCACCAAAGAGCCCCGTACTTGCCTTCCCTCCACTGGAAAACTATGTGTCTAAGTAGTAGCAGAGTTCCATGACCAGGCAGTCGCCGGTCATATGGGCTTCCACAAGACGTTTGCTCCTGTGAGCCGCCTGTATGTCTGGCCAAAGCGAAAGGACTTTGTGAAGGACTACGTCGCAGAGTGTCTCACCTATCAGGAGGTGAACAGTGCGAACCACCTTCCTTATGGTTTGCTTCAACCTCTTCCTATCCCTGAGGGTCTGAGGGTCGTTGGCAGTCTGTTTCGATGGACTTTATCGGTCCTCTTTGTTCTCCGACCCCCCGCGGTCATGATGCTATCCTGGTTGTCGTCGATCTCTTCACGAAGCGCGCATACTTTGTACCGTGTTGCTATGCCATCAGTGCGCGTGACGTCGTCGACATCGTGTTTGACCGAGTCGTGCGTGGCCATGACTTACCTATGAGCATCATATCTGACCGTGGCCCACGCTTTACGAGTCGATTCTGGCGACGGCTCCACGAGGTGTACGACACTCAGTGTCGCTTCTCCTCGTCTTACCATCCCCAGACTGATGGTCAGACCGAGGTCACGAGCAAGAGTCTCGGAGATATTATCCGAAAGATTGTTCGTGACGACCAGAAGTGGGATCTCCGTCTTGCCCACGCGGAGATAGCCTACAACCACACCGTCTCGCCAGCCACGGGGATGTTGCCTTACTATTGTGACCTCAACCATCAGCCTCGTGTTCCCTCGGGCTTTCTTCGACCATCCCAGATGCACCCCGACACGAGTTGTCCCGCGCTGGATGATTGGGTTGCACATGACGTCGATCATGAAGACCGCGCATGAGCACATAGCCGTTTCCCAGACTCGCATGGCCACACGTGCGAACCGATCGAGGATGGATCATCCATTCAAAGTCGGTGATGATGTGCTTGTCGACGCCCGCCACTTACAACTTGAAGCGGATACGCTTCGCTTCTTTGGTCCATGCCGCATTCTTCAAACCGTTGGTTCTGATATGACATCTAGCCCTATCGACTTCCTTGTGAACCTGCCTGACTACCTACGATAGACTCGTGTGCACGACGCCTACCACGTCTCGTTATTGCGTCTCTACTGCAGACTGTCTGAGCGTTTCATTGGACGACCATACGAGAGCCCTCCACCCATCATGGTGGACGGTCACGAGGAGTTCCTCGTTTCAGACATCATTGGTCGTCGAGTCACCGACGACAACCCTCCCCACGCTGAGTATCTCATACATTGGAAGGGTTACCCTGATGAGGACGCTACTTGGGAGCCCCCGAGCACTTGCAGCATGCTCGCATGTCAGTGCATGCCTATGAACGTGCTCGTCGTGCTAGGTTGACTGCTCCTCCTCAACCCACTGACCCTCTTCCTTCTCCCTCGGTTGAGGAGACCGCCGAAGTCAAGCCTGCTCCATCCGAGGCAGACCTTCAGCAGCAGCCGGATGCTTTTGAGCATCCATAGAGCACTCGTCGTCGTCCTGCTCGATACAACGATTGACCCTGACTTATCTTCCCACGTCTTTGACTTCTCAGTACTCCATCCACTTCAGTTTTGCCACTTTCGGGCGTCGACGTTGCGGCTCTTCCTCGACGACATTTCGAACTTTTCATCATGGACGTCATTGGCAGCTTCACAGCCTTTGTCACGATCAACTCTGCCCACTTCAGACGTCGTCACTTTCGTACCACCTTACCCTGTACAGTACCCTGGTTGTGTCGCATGATGGTCTCCTCTCGCCGGGTTCCTCTGAGTTGGGCTCTCCCTTGGTATACGCAAAGGCATCGGGACCGTAGCGTTGCCCTGGCTTCCCAGCTTACGGATCCAGCTCCGACTTCCCCCACCTTAGGAGTCATTTGCATGATTCCCTTACCCATCACTTTTTCTACCCTCTACCGGCCCTCCCGCCCTAGTTAGGCAGCCTTGCATGCTTCGTCTAGGTGCGCCAGTATACCAGGCTCCCTTATTCCCTTGCATAGTCGACCCTCCATAGCGGTCACCCCTTTAGTCGAGCATTACCCGCCCTGATGGTCAATCTGTTAGGGTCATTGGTTCTGTTCGCTCCCAGTTCCCTACCCTCATCGAGCCTGATGACATGTGTCTCCCTGTCATTATGTGTGGATGCCCTTAGGAGTCTATCGACCCCTAGGCTGCATTCACCACCCTCAGAGACCATCCCACCCTCTGGTTTGTGACGCACTTCTCTTGTGACATATGGTTTTCTTGTTGTTGCTTTGTTGCTCTCAGACTGAGGCTACTGCCTCTAACATTTCTAGGATTTAGTGGTTTCTGCTTTTGCTGTTCTTAGGATGTATACACTAGTCAGTTGTTTCCAAACTGAGGCTACTGCCTCCAAACATTCTAGGACTTAGTTGTCATTACTTTATGCTTTCCTAGAACATGTATACT